TATCGACATGAAAAGCATGAGAATGATGATATTAAAACAATTGGTCACGTAAATATGAATATAAGGTCTCATCGTTTGCTCCGTCATAGTCCTGCAATCCGCTTACATTCACAGCACCCACAGTTAACATCAAATAATCATATGGTAAACCCCAGGTGTAGGATAGAGACAGCGTTAAGTGACAAACTGTAAGTAGATGAGTACGTCATTCAATCGCCTTTTTAATACTGTTAGTGTAAGTGCAAAGACAACCGATTCTGGGAAGGCATTCCACGGGTGACAGACACGAATGGAAAAGAAATAGCTGCGGCACGCCAGGCGGCTGTACAGTACATCGAGTTTCAATGGGGGCCCCTCGGTGTTGTACTAGTGCTAAAACGCAGTAAAGGGGGCACACATGAGGTGGGTCTCGAAGAATCAAGTATCCCATAATCCGGTCGCCTCGTAGACTGCGATAGCTTACACTGAATACCCCCAATCATTGCAGCCTCTCCTGGTATGAAAGATAGCACATTCAAATTACGTTCTCGGATGTCCGACGTTGTGGCTGCTCCACTACATTAAGGTCGTGTTTCAGCCATGGATGCCTTGGATGAACCGTACAAAGCTCCTGCGACCTTTAACCGAAGTTCAGAAAGAAGACTTTTCCGATTTCGCCGCCATCGATCCAAAACATACGTTGCTTTTTGCTCCGACTGAACCAAAAGTTTTAGAATTCTAAGGCCGCATCCTTTATAACTTGGTGAGAGAGTTATGCTGGTTGGCGACGGTGCCACAATATTATCCAAATAAAGTGTTTCACGAATGAACCGCCACTGTTCTTAATTGTGCTTTCCGGTCTCTTTAACATCGTTAGAAGGATGCTCTGGCACGTCATATATTAAGATTGTGTTTAGACCGTCTTGTTTGCCGTGTTTCCTTTTGATTGTTGCGCGCTGCAAAGGAAATCAGCATAGATTCGTATCCCAAAGTATCCGTATTTTAACGCACTTGCGCAGAGCAAGAAGTGCTCTACGTCGGTGGAGGATTCTAGTGTTACTCGAATAAGTCCGGGTTTTCTATGGTGTGGCGAGTTCGGATGACGAGTAATTCGTAATAAGGTTATGGGCTTGCCTTTGACATTCATCAGTACTCGCAATGAGTTCAACTGATCTCACTTGTTTGAAAATTTACCCCGCAATATGATGCCGGTAGATTCAGGGACATTCGAGCATACAACAGTCAGGGCACTATTGTTGGATTCCTTTTGCGTTGATCTACAAGGTACGGTAATCGTTTGTCCTGACCTGTTGAAAAGTGTTGATTGTTTACTATTTGTCCCTTTAATTGCTTTAATGGAGTTTGCGACAGAAGAGGCAGCAACTGCGGCCTTCCAGCTGACCCATGCAGCAATCTTTGCGTATGTAGCTGATGTTCCGGGGGGCTTTGTCTCGACAACAGACATTTGAGCTACAAGTACCGAGGTTGGGTTTTCGGCTGCTTCCTCCTTGTTAATGTTAGACATTGTTGAAAGAAATTGCTGCTGGTCCTGACAAACTCATGGCAGCAAGTTTCAACGCCTTCGGACGAATGTCGGCCGCACCCGGGGAGCTGAACTCGAGCAGAGACATCAGTCTCTTCAGTACAGCTGCGGAGGTGAACGGTATGTGATTAAGCCCTGATAGCCACGTTATCTGCTTAGGCAGGATGTATGATGATTGCGCGCTATGGAAATTATGGCCAACTTGTTGTCCAAGGACGTTGGCCGCCTCTTTTGCGGTTTGGGCTAACCCGCATGCTGTGTGCATGGCAGGAATACCGCGCTTAACACGGCGCAAATTGTTTACGTGTCTGTATAGCAGTTTGGGATTGGAGCAAAACTTTTCCACTAGACCTTGTTGGTTCTTCAGTTTATCCTCCCGGACGAGTTGGACACAGTGGTTTTTATATTGTGTAGACATCCCAGGTATGGCGGTGAGGCTATATAGGTGTGCCATGCCAAGTCCCTTAATGCCATGTGTTTACGTTTTCTGCTCCTTACGAAAGACTTTATCATTTTGGGCCGGTAAAGTTTGGTTTAAGATGTCCTTGTCACGAGCTTGGTAACTATGCTGACGAATTCTCTGCAGGCCACCTCAAGAATTAATTCAGCCAAGAACGACCAGCTGGTTGCATCAATTAGGTCGGACAGGTCGTCATAGTTGGTTACGACATGATATTCCTCGGCATGCTCTTTAGGATAATCAGCTTAGCACATGTAATGAAACACTAGCGTCGCATGATCACTGCCCCCCAAAGTAGCATCGGTTATCACTCTCTCGACCATCAGTTATTCATTGGTGAATATTCGGTCCAAAATGGATGGTCTGTCAGTTCCCATGAACTTGGTGGGCGTAGTGTCCTGGCCATAAATCAGGAAGTCTGAAACCAGATCTTGCAAATCTGCTTTGAATTGCTCTCCTGGTGTGGCCCTGGATTCGAGGGCATGTAAGTTGAAGTCACCGGTGACTAGAATGTGACTGTACTTCCTCTTTATCACTTGCCTCAACGCAGCCATCAAATTGCAGTCCATCTCAGGAGTAGACGATGGTGGGCGGTAAACAACAACCAATAGGCAAAAATCGTTCCTTCTCAGCCGGAAATTACACCAAATGGAGTCAAGTACGTCCATTTCCGAATCATTTATGGGTTCGCATTGCATGTTGTTACGAAAGTAATGGGTTACCCTACCACCTTTGCTGGTTTGAGCCTTCCTGACAACGGACATTCCCGTTAGTGCAATTTCAGCATCCGTTATCTCGCAGCGCAACCACGTTTCGGTGACAGCGATGAGGTCCCAAGCTGCAGACGCGTGTCGAAGTCTTAATTCAGCTAATTTGCTGAGTAGACCTTGGGTATTTGTGTACGTGCTTGAGAGCTTCTCGGAGACCAAAAGTGTGTTAGATTGGATGGATGAAGCAAATGAGTTTACACCGACCATTAAAGGGTCGGCGACTAATCGTTTTTTGGATGGGTTGCATACTCTCGAGAAGTATTTGATATGTAAGCAGGCATCAGATGCCCTGAATCCCGGTGTTTGCTCGTGCTCTGCTGTGTCCCTCCGGATATTATGGCTACTCTTGAAACCGTCACCGACTCGGGTCCTGCAGTTGGCGTTTTCCCTAAGAGTTGTGCCTCTACTGAGTTGTCATTCGAAGGTGCTGGTGTTCCCGCTTGCTTTCAGACGAATTTCTGTTGGCAATCTGCAACGGAATTTAGTCCAATTCTTTAGTAGGTTTTGTGCCGTTATTTTTGACTGTAACACAAGTTTTAACAGCCTGGGACCGCACCCCTTATAGTTTGAAGATATGGGGATCCTTATCAACGAGGTGACCACGACATTTTCGAGAGAAAGAGCCTCCCGGATGTAATGGCATTGCTCACGGTCGTGCATCTGAGTATCGTCGGAAGAGGAATCAGTAATCTCAGGAACACCGTGAACAATCACTGTTTTCTTGTCTTGACTTTTTCTGTACCTCTCTTTGTCAGCGGAATCCAATGAACGTTCCTTCCACGGGATTTCGGGTAGTATGCACACTCCACTTGAGTCGTTGCAGAGACGATTCGCAGACTGCAGAACGGCCTCAGTCTCGTCCGCCGAATTTAGTGTTACCCGAAGTAACTGGGGTTCCTGGTAGTGCAACTTGTTTGGGTGGCGCGAGATTCTTTTTAATGTCGTGGGATTAGCATAGACACCGATCGAGTTACAGATGGAATCCCACTGATTTCGATCGTCCGTCAACTTACCCTTAATTGTATTGGATTTGGATTCGGAGACATTTGTGCATACAATGTTTAGGGCACCATGAATACGCCTGGTGGCTACTGGTTTTGGATTTGGAGGCTTAGCATCCGGTGTTTTTGGTGAATTTGTGAACGGCACTGATGTGTGCCGTTCATGCTGCGACACTTTAGTTTTCTCTACTCCGGGCACAAATGTTACCGGTGCTCTTTCCGTTGTTTGCTTGGCGGCAACCGATGTGCACGTTGCCGGGTAATTCACTATTGCTGGTTGACTGTAGCTTACGGTCTCGAGTGTAGCGAACAGACTACTAGGTGTAGCACACAGTAGAGAAGTTGAGGCAGGCGCGCTGCAGGCAATGTTTTTACGTATAGGAGGGAGAGAGAATGGAGTTGATATTGCTGGAGGCTGAGTCGTTGGGGTTCGATTGGGACGCCTGGCTCGCTTCTTCGGCCTGACTAGTGCCACAATATTATTCTCTGAGACAGTATTCATCGAATTGCTATCTGTCAATGTCCTCATAGAACATTTATGTAACTTATGCTGATCAGGGAACTCTAAGATGGAGAACCTGTCTAGGCTTGAGTTACTACAATGTAATCAGTCGATCTCTGATGGACATCCAATGTTTAACAGTATGTCGCGTTACCGGATACCTCTCGGGTCAGATTGTTTGGAAAGACCGGCATTTATATATTTGACACATCAATGATTGTAAACGTTCCTTCTAGGAATGATGAAATAACGCAATGTGTTTCTCGAAGAGTGTCCGCCAAATTGCTTCTTCGGTGAGTTCTCACCAACAAATGATGATTTTGGAAAACCTGATATTCATACATACGGATTTAAGCAGTTATGCACATAAATAACTTTTGTTCCCAAAAGCAATGCAGCAAGCCACCTGGCAATCCTATGTGAGTCGCCTTCAATGCGACCTACCACAACGTAGATCAACTTGAGTAATCCATTGACCCATTCATTTGTGTTATTTCTGCACACTCAGTCACGTTAAGTCAGAACTGGGATCGATCGATTAACGCGCCATTGTGCTGCATCGTGTTGTCAGTAAAATAATAAAATTATACTGAAAACAAGGGGGTAAAGGTTCACAAAATATACTTGATTCCAAGACAAAATGCAGTTTATTGTTTTATTTCATCTTCGGAGTGAGTTGTGTTTAGAGTCAGGCTGCTTAATAATGTCTCGATTACGTCTTCTACCGATATGAAAAATGTTGCAGATACGGTTGAATCAAACACTAGTACGAGAGGAAGAAGAAGCACGGCAGAAAAGGATTCGGAAGTCGGAAGAAATCAGAAGCGATTTGGACACGTGTTTGCAAGAGAAGCGTGACAGAGAGGCTCTGCTTAAGGCCGGGTTGCAAAGATTGGATCTACAGCTGGCCGAACAGACACTTGTGCTCGAACGAGTGCAAAAAGCGAGTGAACGTGAGGAACAAGTTAGTTGGACTATTCTTACGACATTTTTGCTACCTTAAAATCGTTTTTCTTAATAGCAGTGAAAACGAGGGGCAAAGGTTTACTGATGTAACGTGGCGCCATTTGAATGGCTCAGGTACATTCAGGTCCAAAGGTGACACGTTGAGGAAACGCTTGCTGTGCACCGGACTACTGAGTGTTCAGCCATGGCACACAGATCTTCGGCAATGATGAGAAGAGCGGGGTGGTAAACCCCTTAAACTGTAGCAGAAAATCTCCACAGAATAGCATTTTGAAGAGTTCTCAAGTAACAGATTGTAGGGTTTGGAAAATGGGCGTCGGCTGGCGGATGACTGACTAATCCCAGTTTCGGATTTGGGAACAGACATTTCTTAGATGAATAACGTCGTTGACTTAAATACACATTCAAGATGCTCATGATAGACGGACTGTGGTGTTCCGGTGATTAGTCGCACAGTAATCGTTTTACTGACCGATGGATCGGCTACAGCGGTGATAACTATAGTCGACTGCCAAATACGATATTTGTAGACAAGGTTTTCAGTGGTCAAGGAATGAGTTTAGAATGCGTGCCCATTATGTCCAAGAAATCGTGGATCTGGGGTGCTTGTTATGGTATTGAACATGTAGTATTGAAATAAAAGAACAAACAACTTGTAACAGGGGATAACTTACGTAAAATACTGAGCGAAAGTAAACTGATTTAGAGAATATACATTTTACTCTGAAATCTAAGGTTTTTTATGGACGAATGGGATTGCATGGCTTCACCGTCAACGTGTATTTGAGAACTCTCAGTGTAGCAGTTGTTGTGAGTGCCTCCTCTATGTGAGTTGGAATGATCGCCGCTACAGTTTTGGAAGGTAAACTTAAAAAGACAGATTAGAATTAACCTGTACGCACATCAAGTAAAGTTAACCACTTAAGGTTAATGATATTGGTTTGTTGACTTATTGGATAAAGACAGCTGTATCGTTGAGAGCACGCTGTGCCTATCAATTATACGAACCACGTGACCCGTGTGGTGTATGATAGCGAACGGAACAAAAACATTCGGCACAGGACAAGCGTCCAGATACCTACACACACACACACACACACACACACACACACACACACACACACACACACACACACACAAACACACACACACACACACACACACAGTCTGAACACATGCGTGTTAATTCTGTCATCGGTAAAACAAAGGACAATTGTCCAATCAATTGCAAGCCACAGAATAGGTGCGTGCTTGGAGGAGGAAAAGGGAATGGGTGGTGATGTAAATGTGTTGAAAAGCGTTTCCTTTTAATTAGACTTAAGTGTGAGAGGATTGTCTTGTTCTCCGAGCCGGGCATTTCTGTTGTAGACGTTCCGTTATTAAACTAGGCAACATCTTCAGCGCGGTTAATCAGTCCTGATTGACGAAATCTTTCAAATCACTGTCAGATCCGAATCTGATAATGGTTTGCGAGACTGAGCGAATCAGGACTGAATAGCCGCACTGAAGATGTTGCCTAGTTTAATAAGGAAACGTCTGCAACAGAAATGCCAGACTCGGAGGACAAGAAAATCCTCTCATCTATACCCCGAGCTACAGGTATCCTTAATAATTTCCAGACTTAGATGTGCCTTGTCTTCCTCTGCCTTTATCCCTCACGTTTTGATCTGAAATGCAATGTGGATTTATGGCACTGACAAAGGAAGCCCTGACGCTGACGGACAACCACTGTCCTCTGCTCAGCCTTAATCTACATAGCAGTGGGGGACGGGTTGGGCTATGTCGCATTTGGATTTCAATCCGTGATGGTCGGTTATCGTCCTCCACATGACTCAGTGGCATAAGTTGTTGGTTATTGTCGCAAGCCATTAGTGGTCATTGGTTAGATCCCTAATAGGGATTTTCCGGATTGATAACTCACCTATGCGGCTTGGTAACAAATTGCGATGAACCAAATAAAAATAAAAAAATTACTGTTTGCGTTGAGAGTGATATATTTGATATCCTAACAAATAAGCGAATGAGAGAATGTGTACAAATATACACACTTTGAACCGAGCTACAAAAAGTTCCAAAATTGAAAGCCAAAAAGCATGTTATAATGTAGATTTTTTTTCGATACTTGCTGTAAGATGTTTTGAAACGGTTTCGTCACTTTTGCAACAAATGAACAGATTACGTTTAATAGAAACGAACCAGATGCGTCATTTGCAACCTCCATCCTTGCAGCGCTGTCCTAATCCTTTGAAGTAAACAGAAAATTAGCCAAATCCATCATGCCGGTCTTCAGATACTGATCTCTCTAGGGCTTTGCACGCTTTGTAGTTGGTGAAGTAACATCAATCAGCATCAGCAGAAGCTGTGATCGGTATTTTAGATGTGGTTGGTCTTCCCCAGGTTTGCATAGTTCTGGTGTGGTCAAGTTTGCTTTCAATGCAGTGTTAGCTGCTTCACTTCTGGAATAGAGATCCAACATTTACTTTCTTAGTGTTCCACTTACGATTTCAGTAGCTACACACCAGTCAGGTATTTGTAAATGTAAAGTGCACAAAGTGAAAAGTCATTCTTACAGCTCAATTTTTGTTTTTGCCTTAATTTTCGAGGTAGCTCTAGAGAAGGAGCACTCACTGTTATGATAGGAAGTTCCACTACCAGGATTTATATTTTCATTGAGGCGGATTTTGCTCGGTATTATTGTGGATGTTATTTCACATTTGCAAGTATCGATCCACCGTTACTATATCTACACCTGCATTGACTCTTGTGGTCCTTTGCTAATACATACGGATCTTTGGTAAACCAACATTGACCATCAAAACTGAGATACCGAAAACATTTGTATTTCAGTAGTCGTCGTACCAAAACCCTTCCCAGTAATAAACCTGTATGAAATATCTTTTGTTCTGTGAACTTGTCAAAATTTGTGATCTGAAGTATTGTAGGAAGTATGTTGATTGCGACTTGAAGTCATCAACTAACAGTAACTATTACAGCCAACTAATGTGATCTGGATGCAATCCATCTCTGGGGATCGCTAACTGTACCATCACTTTGGTTAGCATAACTGCTAGGTTGCTTGGGATTTTTTGTTTATCATCTACATCACTATTATCGTTCTCAAGAAAAGTCAGATCAGGTTTGGCAGGAAAAACTCTCAACTCCAGAATCATCAGAACAGAATAACTCCAAACTGAGTACATTCACATAAGCATTATACGCGTTAGTTGCAGGTGAAAAACACAAGCTATTGTGCAGCAATACAAAAGAAAAAAATAAAACAGAGGCTCGTAGGTTAAGTCACCAGTAACGGATGGATATCGTTCTGGAGACCTAACAACAGGCTATTGTGCTGCAAAAAAGGAGTTATGTTACGTTTAATATGTGAGATCGGGGTTGGTGGGGGAGGCTAAACGGCAGGGGGAGGGACAAAGAAACTCACAACACAAGCGCCATTGAGATCGGCTTCTAACCATGCCAACACGTGTATCTAGCCAAACGTGTTCATCGTCCTTCGGTCAACAACTGGGGAGCCAAGGTCAACTTCGAAGTTAGGGCCTTCAACGCTCTTGACCAACTCATCGCTTGGCCACCCCTCCTCTTCTTCCATCCGCACCCCCGGCGCATAAACAATGCACGTCGCTGGAGTCGGTGTGCTAACATGCGTAATACGTAGCCTAGCTATCGGAGCCTGGTGCGTGAAATAACGGTGCATTCACACTTTGCAGTCAATAACACAGTGTCAAACGTCTGCCTTTGTTTGTTGAAATAATATTAGATAATAGGTAGGCAATCAGTACTGACGCTACACTGTCACCCAACCACCACTAATCTCGCGACGGATGAGCATACTTCGAGGGTCGCCCGATCCCCTACGCAGGCTCGAACCCGCGACCTCCAGACTACAAAGCAGACTTGCGATCCTTAAAGTCATGGGCCAGCTTATAAGACATGTTGCTTACTTAGTTTTCACAATTCCAACTACTATGACAGAGTACAATGCGTCCGAAATGTTCAACAATTGATAAAATAATACTTAGGAACGTGAAAAATGTATCCAAACTCACGAAAAATTTCGATATACTGCACCGAACTGCCGGGCTTAAATATCCGCATTTTTACTAGATTAAGACACATAACTTTAAAAATTATTCACCGTATATTATTCTTTGCTTGAAATTAATGAGCTACACAAAGAAGTAGTATGCAGTTTAGTAGTCATATGTCATGAAGATCTTCACTTAAAAGTGGCTAATGTTACCAAGCCAGACGATAAAAACATCTACCCGTTGGTGTATATTTTCCTTGGGACACCACTTCGAAATTTATGTATTTTCTGGTTAGGTGCAGAAACGAAACAAAATGTTATTAAAATGGTCCTTTGTGTCTGTTTAACGTGAACTGAAATGTTTCTGGGCCAATAGTAGTAGGGGAAAACCATTTTGTACTAGTGTGTACATATGTACACATTTTGCACCAAGAGGTTACTGTTTAACTGGGAGCTTTTACCGTTAGAACTTAGTAAACATGTTTAAGTGTCGGCTTGCTTCCATACTTGAACATTGGTACCCGTACATTAATGCATGATCTCTTATAGTCGTTGTTCGGCATTCTCGCATGCTTCATGTCAAACTTTAGTCCATAACCTCCTCACATAATAAATCAGTCCACGCTCCTTAGTACTCACTTGGTCTATCTGACGTTTGGTCTCTCCCCATGTATATCTCTTCTTCGTGAAGTTACTCACACATCAACCAGAACGGTACTTTCTACAAAGTCAGAATTGATTAGTTTTCTGCTCCATTGTATCTTACAATATGTAAGAAAGAGAAAGTGATGGTAGAGTACAATAAAGAACGGCAGAATCGGGCGTAAGTGGCTATTAAATTAAACGCACTTCGTGAGACAGTCACTCAAAAGAGAACCTGAAGAGGCCAATTTCTAGTATCGAACAGAATAAGTAACGAAAGTTTCGATTATCATAGCCGAAGCATTGAAGCA